ATTTACTACCAATAAATTGCGAATTTATTTTTACAAAATGAATATGTAGTTGCCGCAATGATTTTTGTAATTGATAAGACATTATAGTAATTAATAAAATTGCATTATTTTATTTTACTTAAACATTTATTTATTATTTATTTATTTAGACATGTGGCAGTTGGTAGACTGCTACATATATAAATAAATAAATAATTATCATATCTATCACCCAAGCGATGGATTCCAATAATAGAACTGCGAGTGAAGATGCTTTCGCCGTGAGCCCTTATATACGGTCTCTGGTCGAATTTTAAATTTGAGAAATAAGGCCACACCACGGTGAAAACGCTTATCACTCGCAGTAATTCCGGGAAAATTTAAATTGTATCAATAACATTTTTATTTCTAATAAAATAAAAATATATTTGTCGAAATGACTTTTTTTATGACAGAATCAGATATTGCTTCCAATGGAATGCGTTTTTACTTACACCAAACGAATATGTATACTGATCGCAATAACGTAGGATTGAGAGGATTGCATAGTTATATTTGAGCCAATCTTATCTACTTTCCGTTGAAATAGAAGCATACTCATAAAAATGTTAGAAATACTTGACACAGAAGTACAAGGTCTGTCAATTTATTTCAATCACAGTATACGGATTAACGCATTAAGTATAATTATTTGTATCAATTAAAATAGTATTTCAAAATCAAATGAATTTATTTGCTATTAAATATCTAATTGGTGAAATTGCATATACATTTCAAGCAACAAAATGTGTCATTAGATAAAAAAATATTTTCAATATCATTGCGTTTTTTGAAATAAATATGTAGTTCTTGGATTACACTTCCTATAATAGTATTAAGAGCGTATAATAGTATTAAGAGCGTTGTAGTTAAATCAATTAAATATTTTTCAATAACACAGATGCTATTGAATCAACAATTTTTTTTCTCAGTGCTCTAATATACATAAAAACAATTTGATTAAAAAATACGTACTAATTGGTCCCTGCGCCAGTGGCTGCTCGTTGGCTTCTTGCTGTTGCTGCGCCAGCGGCTGGAGCAGCAGTGGCTGCTCGGCCTCCTGTTGCTGCTGCATCTGCTCCTGCGGCTGGTCCCGCTCTTGTAACTGCCATTGCAGCTCCTCAATTATAATACAAACTGCTGTTGTTGTATTTGCTGCCTCAGTTCTTGCAGCGTTGATAAGTTATTATTGTTTATTTCTGAAAATAAAAAGGAAAACTGTCAAAATTGCAAGTTTTGCCGTTATTTTGTAATACTTATTTATAATCTATATAATACTTACGTGACATATTACGAGACGTTTTTTTCACTTTACCGCAATGAATTTCTACTCTTTCCAACGCCAAGCACGTTGAACGTAGTAAGGGAGACCGGGGCTAAAATGTCTACGGGGTAAATACGTCTAATCAAATATCTCGGAACCTGTATATTGTGCGAACTCGCTATTAACATTGTAAACGCTGCTTATGGTACCCATGTGGCCAACGGAGTTTCGGCAGGTTACCTGCCGTGTTATGATTTTTACGAGGGCAAACGTGTTTTCGGAAGGTGAAAGTTACATTTTCTGCGCGTGGAAATTTTGTAATATCTGCAATAATATTTGCTTTCCAAATCTCGAGGTACGTGATTATAAAGAGTAATGCATGCTGAACACGAATCCAGTGTAGTTTTTTCATTATCGTTGATGTCTAATATTTCGTGGACGATCAAACCTGAAACTTGTGTTTGGGGCTAATCCGTCAGGGTGCATTTTTAAGGCATTTCCGGGCATTTCCAGGCTCACTGCATATGGAATATGGATGAGACGGGAATTACAACCGTTCAGACACCGAATAGAGTCATCGGACGTCGAGGAGTGAAACAAGTCGGGCGAGTGACTTCTGCGGAAAGAGGAACTCTCGTAACTATTTTTTAATAATGTTTCGCATAAAAATTTTAAATAAATTTTTATTTTTTTTTCTTAAAAAACAATTATTAAAATGTATTCTATCATTTTTCAGGATTAGATGTACGTATATGTAGACGGTGCAGACGGTTATACCCCGGCATTTTTGAGATTTCAATTTTTTCATCGTTTTCATTTTTGCTCTATACCGGTTAAACAAAGCGACGTAGACAAAAATTTCCTATATAAATTTTGTAGCTAAAGGTTCACTCTTTACAGTGGTATACCACATTTAACTACAATTATTTATTTTGTTGTTAAAAATCGGCACCGAAAAAAACGGACGGTTTAGCCCCGGTCTTTCCTACATCAATATTGTTTTTTTTTTAACGTAAGGTTTTAAACTTCACTCTAAACTTTCCAAAGCCGGTATATAGTGCGATTAGTCATCTCGCTTGTGTGTCGTGTGCGCGGCTTGTTATTTAACAGTAAGAGGTTAGGTTAATAATATACATTCGCAAAGAAAAAGAGAAATAGAAGAAAAAAGGAATTCCCTCTGAATGAGGGGGGAAAGGAGAGAGAGAGAGAGGGAAATAAAGAAAGAGAAAAAATAAGGTATTTATAAAATGAAAAATATTATAAATGAAATGTAATAAATAATGCATTTAATAATGTTATTAATAATTTACTTTTATAACATGCTTACATATAACTATATATTACTAAAAGAATAATATATTATTGTATAAGTGAGTTAATTACTTAGTGTTTACGTGTTTCTTTAGAATTGGATTTATAAAAGAAAAAATATTATTAACGTAATGTACTGTAATGTAATATAATAAATAAATATTGTACATATATATATACATATACAATATATATATATATATATATGAGACGTTCCATGTCAACCGGGACAGGGCCGTCTCTAAAATTCTATTGAACCGATTAAAATGATTTAGGGCTTAAAATCTCTGTTTTTGTGTGCTCTATCAAATACAGTGTGGTACTTTTGAAAATTCAATATGGCGGTCAAAATATGGCGCTTCATATGAGTTAAAAACACAAATCATATGATTAAATTGTTGTTTCTAATGGAAAAAAGAGGATACATAGCTTGTGAGTAGATAGCACTAAGATTTGGATATTTCTAAAAAAAAATAAAAATGGCGGATCCAATATGGCGGACGAATTTTTCTTAAACTAGAACAATACAAGCGCGCGCTACGCGCGCGCCATTTAGCTTTTTCATTATATATATCACAAAATACTACAATACTACACGCGCTTAAACATAAAATAAATACAATACTACTACATTATAGCTTAAATATATATACGCGCGCCATTTATTTTTTAACTGTACATTTTTAATGATATACGCACATAATTATATATGTCAAAAACTACTTTTATATAAAAATTTAAGAGGAGAAAAATTATACATATATTTCTTTATATACGTAGTTTTTAACTTGTTTATTATTTCGCTGACTGCCAAGATAAATTTTTAATGCTTCCCAAGAACGTACTCGTGAAAAGGCAACATAAAGTTGTCCATGATTAAAAACATCTTTACGAAGATCTATTCCTACTCTGTCAAATGTTTGTCCCTGTGACTTGTTAATTGTCATAGCAAAAGCTAATTTTATCGGAAATTGTCTTCTTTTAAAAGTGAAAGGATATACATTTTCGCAATACAAAGTTATACGATTTAAGAAAACAATATCTCCTACTTTATCACCCGTTAAAATTTTACATTTCAATAAGTGATCAGCAAGTTCTATAATCATTAATCTAGTGCCATTGCAAAGACCTTCATTGATACTGAGGTTTCTAATTAACATAATGACACAATTTGGTCTTAAACGTAATTCATAAGGAGACAAAGTATTTAAATATTCTGGTAGTAAAACTTCACTAATGTCACCATTATCACCACAGTTTTCAGTACTACCTGTACTTGTATAAATTCGTTCTTCAAATGTATCTAATAATTCGACAACTCGTTTATTAATTTCATCTACATCGACATTTCTTGCAGAAAGTATTACACACTTTGACATTTTATTAAATTCTTTATTTCGTATTAGATCACCATATATATCTTCTACAATATCGGCATTAATTGGTGTAATACAATAATCCGGAAGTTGTATATTGTCATTAGAATCATTTAATATGCCATCTCCTATATCTAATAGAAATTTTGCAAATTCAGTTTCCTCTGGAAGAACTCGCATGTTTTCCGTTAAAGAGAAACTTATAAAATGTCTCCAAGTAGAACTAAACTTGATCGAAAGATTCACGATTTCATTTCGAGTACCATGTATCTTAATAAGGAGAAGCTGTCTAAAATCACCACCTATTACAATAATTTTTCCACCGAAAGGTAAATCATTATTCATAATGTCACGCAACGTTCGATCCATAATCTCTAGAGCATATCGTGGTGCCATTGGCGCTTCATCCCAAATAAAAATATCTGTTTTTTTTTCAAATATTGAGCTTCTTTTGATTGGATTTTAATGCTGGATGATGAATCAGCAAATAATGGAACCGGCAATCCAAATGTCTTATGAACCGTTTTTCCTGCTGGCAATAATGTCGCTGCAATGCCCGTAAAAGCCATTGTACATACATGTTTCTTACGAATTTTAGCTAAATGATAGATAGTTGTGTATGTAAACGTTTTACCTGAACCACCTGGACCATCGATATAAAAACAATTGCTATTGTGATTATTATTATCTAATTTTTTAAATATAAGATCTACTATTTCTTTTTGCTTGTCATTTAACTGTTCATATTGTCTGATACCAACTTCCAATAGCTTGCTCAAGTGTTGTATAATCTTCGTCTTCATAATTTTCTGTCAATTGTTCCATTTGTGGAAAATCTGCGAAAGTTTTACCCTCAGCAGAAAGCATGGTACCAATTTGTGCATAAGCTTTCTGTTGTCCTTGTAACAATCCAAAGTGTCGCACATAGTCTTCTGACATCGCTACTTTAAAATTTTCCCAAAGCTCTTCAGGATGCAACGGTTGACAATGTAATAATATACGTACAAATAATCTACGAAGTTGTCTTGGCATCATCCATCCAACAGCTTCATTCGCATAGCTCGTCTCCATTCATCATCATCTTCAATCAAACCTAAAGCCAGACATGCCGCTGAAAATGATTGACAAACTTCTCCATTTACAGTTTTTAAATTATCGAAACTCGTAGCTCCTTTTACAGTGAATAATAATAGTCGTAAATGATATAATTCAGTTTGTGTTGGACTAACGGAATACATTCGTCCTATACAATTATAATGACTTTTGCGTTTAACCCAACGTGATAGATTTCTTCCATTAATTTTCTCTTTCTTAAACGTATAATAGCGTGGAATTTCTACATATAAATACTGTCTTGCATCTTCATCACGAGAATTTAATGAGAAATAATCAATTAACATTGTAACTTGATTTAAAGCAGAAGTCATTGCTTCTTCAATGGCTTCATTTTCGATTATAACATTTTGTTCATTAGGAAGATGCACAGGTAAACGTACTATAGTATGACTTTTATCTTGTAATTTTTTCTCAAGAATACGCCAACTGGCTTCTACAGGTCCAACATAGCGTGTGTCTATAAAATTACGTATCTCATCATGATCAATAATTACATTTTCTGTTATTGGCTCAATTGTTATAGCAGCAACATCATGTCCTTTGTAAATATACTTATACAGATATTTAACCGATTTAATACTTGAAACTACCTCAACATTTATGTGACAATTAAAAATGATCGATAAAGTAGGACAATACGGAACTACATAACGATTATCAACTATATATCCACCAGGGCGTTCAAAATTTCTACTATTATTTCGTCGACGATAATAAGGATAAGCATCTTCATCCATTCTGGTTTCTTCAAGATATGGTTTAGGATAATGTTTCGAACACTTTCCATCTACCAAACACCAATCACCACAAGGTCCATGAATCATATGTTTCATTACTATATCATGTAAAGTACGAGTTTCACAAGAATCAGGAATTTCAGCAGAAATATATTTGTCAACAATTTGTGGAGTTGTGATTTTAAAATCGTATTTTAAAGTAACTAACATATGAACATGTGGCAAACCACGTTTTCGAAATTCAATGACATATACAAAGGCTGCTATTTCTCCAAAAAATTTTTGTTTAACAATTAAATCAATTAAATAATTCTTTTTAATATTAAAAACACGAGCACAGATATCAGGTCTGTCAGAAGCTTGTTGACCAGGTAAAAGATTTTCTTCAATTTCACGCCATTTTGGATTGCAAGTCATTGTAATGAAAAGATCTGGTTTACCAAATTTACTAACTATTGCCATTGAATCTTGATAATTTTGTAACATATTACGCGGTGATCCAATAAATGTGGATGGAAGTATAATCATCTTTCCAATGCGTCCATTTAAATTATTCGCTGTAGTTTGAAAATAATCTTTTAAACCTTGATATGTTTCAGTACGTAATTCTTTTTGATGATCTCTACAATAATTTATTCTGTCCTTTTCAATTTTTACATAATTGTTGAAATAGACGACGCCCTAATAAGAAGACGTTGAATTCATCACGAATAGCCATTCGATATTTAATATACTGGCCTCTAGTTATTCGTTTATTACTATTTAACTTTGTTAAATTACAATGCCATCCTTGAGTACCATATGGATAAAATAATGGATATATCCATGGTTCAACATTTGGATCCATGGTACTAACGTTTTGTAAAGTTTTGTCATTTCTATTACGTATTGTTACGTATGATTCTGGAATTTCTCCATCAGCAGTCGTCCGAAAAACAGCAGCAACTTCATTAGTTCTTTGAGCATTATATCGGCGTCGATCCATACCTGGTCTTAATGTAAATAATAATTGTAATTCTGGCAACAATTCTCCAGATTCTATTTCTAATTGTTGTTGATTTTCTAATTCTTCACCCATCATTTGATAAGATTGAGCAAATATATTAAATTCTCGCATTATATATTCAAGATTTTGTATAATTTCAAAATCTAAATTTGAATTTTCATTAAAACGATAATTTATTGCTTCATTAGAATCTATAATAAAAAGCTGACCGTAAGTCGGATTTTCATTGTGGGCAACATATAATGCTGTATTTATTTGATAATAAATTTGTCCTTGTATTTTGAAACAATATGGACCTGATCGTCTATTTTGAAAATTAACTAAATTAGTATTAAATGACACAAATGAAAATGAACTATTATAACTGCGTATATATTTGAAAAACTTATTGGATTTTGCATGACTACCATTAAATAAATTACAAAGAAATTGTGGAGGTTGAGGTAAAGATTCCAAATATACCGCACCATGATTACAAAAATCATGAAATGAATCTCTCTTATTAGATATTTTTTCAACTGCAAAATGTTTTGCATTGCAATGGATACAAAGCACATCCATGGAATCAATATAATATTCTGCTATATCGTTTATAGACATTGTATTATTAATACTTAAACATGGCTGCCTTCTCTTACGTGCTCGATAATGGGATTGATATTCGGCAGATTGATGACATACTGTTGTAACATTTATGGTACTACCTCCAGCTATCTCGTTGTTTAGATTTATTACACGATTACCATGTATTGTACCATCAACACATAAAACAGTATAGGGTCTTGGGTTATGGTTTATTTGTACATTACTATTTTTAATTAAAGTTTTTATAGTTTTATTACGTTGACGTTGATTATCCGCTTTTCTTTTTCGACGTTGTTGTTGAAATTCTTGTTCTTCTTCAAAAGAACGTTTTATTCTACGTCGTGGAATTATTTAAATATGAATGTATATAAATGTGTATCTATATATATATATATATATATATATATATATATATATATATATATATATATATATATATATATATATATATATATATATA